TTGACGACCCGGCAACCAGTTCCGACAACTTCCTGCTTCTCATAAGCATCCTGCTTGCCGACATCGTACCTAACTGCGAAGAACGCGAGCGGGAGAGACGCGAACTCGTTACTTCCGTTTTCTGAATGTCTTTCGAAATATGGAGGAATCTCGAAGTGCGCGTGCGAAGGAGATGGTCGAGGTGGGCACGAGGGAGGAGGGCGATCGACGCCGACCGCCGTCTAGAATTATTCGAGGGAGGTGAGCAGGAGGAGGATGACGACCACGACGAAGACGATTCGTTGCAGGAGTTGTCTGTGGATCTGCAACGACGGTTGGAAGCTGCGTGCGGAAGCGGCACAGACGACGACGTCGTTCCCTTCTACGCAAGATGCTTAGTTCTAGCGGAACACCTTCTGCGAGGGACGGATTCGGTCACGACGGAGTGCTGCACCATGACCGACTTCGACGCCGTGCTCGCGCGACACGTGCAGTTCCCTTGGACGAGCGAGCATTCGACGGTGATATCGAGGCGCCTGTCGGCACTCTGGAGGTTCGTGGTCGTCGTGGGCACCTTACCGGCGTTACCCATCGGTTGTTGTCCGAACGTCGGTTACCGGTGTTTCGTCTGCAGGAAGGAGCAGACGGACGAGGAGTGCCACCATCTCGTGACGACGATCGCGAACGAAGGTACGGAAGACGAGGAGGATATCTGCCGCGGTGCGCCTCCAGTATTCCCGCATCTCGACTCTCACCAGTCTACGAGACCGGAAGTCGCCGAGAAGGACGAGTTCGAGATCGCGAGGCGCGTCGACAGGCGTGCGAGATCGGCCGCCGACAAGCTGAGGGTGGAAATCGAAAAGGAGATAAGGTACGCAGAAGCGTGTGTCCGATACGCTTCCCTTCCAAAGACCGTTAGTCTCGGTTGCATAGCGCACGTCGCGAAGCTCGTCTCGTTCGAAAAGCGCAGACGGCAGCTGGCGAACGTGGAACGAGAGACGTTCGACCACAGGGATCTGGAAAGGTGGTCCCGAAATCTGCTGGAGTCGATGTTGGCCAATCCGGATAGGCGCGATCAGAGACGGGCCGCGATGGCCTCGTTCTTCCGTTTGGTGGTCGATCCGACATCGGTGGTGAGGGACGCGTCGACGACGAGACACGAGACCGCCTTCCGAACATGGATGGAAGCGTGCGAAGTGCC